ATTTTATGAGGAAGTGATTTTGGAAGCTGTCAGACAAAATGGCAATGCACTTAGGTTTGCCGGTCTTCCCATTGTGTCCTTTCGATAAGATCATGTTATTATCTGACAAGGAACTCATTCTGTCAGCAGTGAAGAACAAAGGATTCGCATTACATTTTGCAAATGAAAACTTTCAAAAAAAGGTGAAGAACTTGAGATGGAAGCTCTAAAATGCAATGGTTATGTTTTTGAAGATAGTGACGAATGTTATCAAGCTAGAATGTATCATTGCTATCATAACCCTTATTTTGGAAATGATTATTAATTGTTTTAGTTTGGCTGAAATTGAATTCGAATTTGTAAAGGTCAGTATTGAATGTCTTCAATTTTTATTCATCTTGATATTGTACTTTCCACTGGGAAACAGTGTTTTTCACATGATTTGGTCGTCTCCAATGAAATCACCCAGAGAGGGATCAGAATGGACATTTCCACTAATGTTTGGCGATGATGATTGATCACTATCCACTGGTGTCCAATTGGCATCATCAGAAAGGTTCAGATAAGACGAATGGTCATGCATAGAGTGATCGAATGAAACAGAAGAAGGAGTCGCTTCATTGCTGTTACCATTTGCAGTGATTGCTTCCATTAATAATTGGACAAGTACTTGTTTTAACATGGCATTCACATCCAATGTTGACGACAATGAAGAAGCATCAATAGTGGTATCAGAAGAACAAGATAGGTGACCAGAGATCAAAAAAGTTGGAAAGAGGTTTTGGTTGTTCTGAATCAACAAGTGTTCATGCGTTGGGGAGTTGATTCTTGAATCTGTGTGTCGGTGGCTCGATCTGGTTGTACAAATGAAACTTTATACGTGGAAGAATTGTTTGCCATGCTGGTATTAGAGATTATGGGAAAGGTATTCATCAAGGTTTGATTGTTCCACCCACAATTACCTTCATGAATCATGAAATTGTTGTTGTTGGAGTGGTGGTTATTGATATTATACAATTCCAATTCAGAGAGGTTTTTGTGGTGAGAAAAGGAATGAACAGAACAAGCGCTTGAAGAAGAAGTATTGTTGTTGTTGGTTACATCCACTTCTCCAGCATACCATTGCTGGACTTGATTCAGTGGGTGTACTCGGAATGGTTGTTGTTGTAGTTGAGGTAATGGTTGTGGTTGCATTTGTTGAGAGGTATTAGGAAACAGATCAAAAGTGGAGGATGGTGGTTGTTGTTCTTGTAAAGAGGTAAAAGGAGAAAGAAGTGCGAAACTGTCATCATGGTTTTCATTGGTCGATGGGACTTGTATTGATGGCTGATTTGTTTCTTGCATGTCAGGAACATGAGACAGTCGCTTAATGATGCTCAAATATTCTGTCAATGACACTTGTTGAGACATGAAAGGTAATAATGGACACTCTTGGTTGGAGCTATCATGACCACGACTGCAAGTCATCTTGTCCAAACATTTTGAAGATGAAACACCACATCGCGATTGCTCGCCTCTCACCTTGTAGTTGCACTCACTGCGGAGTGGTGGTGTGGATGAGTTTGAATTCATCTGATCCAAAGATGAATGCATCTCCTCTGTTTGATTCAATTTCTCTTCTTCTTTTGTGAAATCTCTTGATCAGGGCAACCATCCACAACAGAGGAGATCAACGAGGAAGAAGAAGTTGTTGTGGTTGGTTCAGAGGATTCCATCCGTTTTGGACAATAAAATCTCTTCATCAAGCTTTTGGCTTTTTCTTTATCCAAAGAGGAATGAATAGAGGTGGAAAGGATGTCAAATTTGAGAAGTGGAACTTCTAGTGGAGCTGAAGGGACATGATCATCACCAGAAGTGCTCTTCAGATCCAGTTCGAAATAAATTTTTGAAATCAAGAATGTCGAGTTGCTTTCGAAGTTTTCTTGGTTGACGGTTCTTACTGACAGCAGCAAGTTCGTTCTTCTTCTTGTTGCTGCTGGTGGTGTGATTCTTCTTCTTTAACGTGTCCATGGATTGCTGATTTGGCATTTGACAGAAGGCAGTGATTGGGTTGTGCACTTTTCTCGAGTTTGAAATGCACTCAGAAATTCATTCCTCAATCGCATTTATAGTTTTCTTCCT